GGATTATTTTGGAAAAACTGTTTTTTTTTTCTGTAGACAAGATCCAAGGCTTTTATCTACAATAGATAGGCATTCTTTTGTTCATAATCTTTAACAGAAACTTATTAATAAAGATCTCAACTATCATTAATGATGTTAAACTTTTATATGATCCTGAACATTCATTTTCTTTTAAAGATAAAACACTAAAACCCTGWTAATCACTAAATGACAAATATAATCAACCTCAGGCTCATTACTCAGAATGTTAATTGGATGTAGTTGTTTTTTTTAGCAGTTTCCTGACTTGGAACTCTCTTGTTCCTCCCCTCAAAGCACAAAGCTCTTATTATCACCAGATGCGACAAAGAAGGTGCTAATGTTTGTTTGCTACCCTTCTCAGCTCACTCACATGTTCTCATTAGATCCGCATCCCCTTTAGAAAAAAAAGCTGACAAGTTTATATAGTAGCTGGCTGGGTTACACAACAGTTACACTTCAGAAGTGAGAGCTGAAGAACAAACAGCAGTTTACCATCACTGACACTGGAGTCTAGCAGCAGATCAGGGTTATGTTCTGTTGATGATGCCGTTCCACACCAATATGAGGAAGTGAAWGGGAAGTACCATGGTTTAGGAATTCCATATTGACCTGAAATCAACCACAAAGAATTACCAAGCATTACAAAGAGGATTTTGGTCTTCACAGCTGAGCATTTTTTAAGTACTTTAGACAGAAACACAAGAATTAGTCCATTGCCTTTCTTGAAAAATAACAACACTACAATACTGCATAATATTGTGCAGATAACATGGTCCATATAATGGCCATCTCCATTCAGGCTATTTTTAGAACACTAATCACGTGACTATGTCCGCTCAACACATGGTAGAAGATCTATTGGTATGAATCACTGTGCGCTTTTTTGCGGTGTTTAAGAAATTTGTGAAAACTGCATCCAACTCGACCAGGAGGACCACAAGGCACTGTCCTACAGTTCTTCTWTCAGTGAGTAAGGATACAGCCATCATCCCCACGTGGATGTTTTGATGTATGTTAATGTATGTTATGCTAGGAGTATGTTATTATGCTAGCTAATTGCTGGATTTGAGTGATGAGAAAAGCTGAATTTGACCGGAAAAATTTCGAACCATGGACTTAAAATCTGCTCCAAAAATTTTATCAGCAATAAAAAATCAACACATGAMCACTTGTATCCTATCACTGAACTTTCTGTCTTTAAACAGTTACAGTAAACCTTAGAATTGTACTCTGTACTGGTAGCTTTACTTCTGTAGCATCTGCTTTGTATGCAATTTACATCAGTCAGTCAAGCAGTGGCTTGAGTGGTAAAAATACACACTAGATACAGAAACTACAGGCAAGAATACACTAGAACAAACACACCAAACTTTTTAACAATTCCTCTAACTTTCCTGGCCATCAAAGACCTCAACGTTTCCACTAACCATCCCTGAGTTTCTTGAAGTTTGATGTGTCGAACCTTGCASTAGGAAAGTCTTTTTGTGTTGACAACAACATCAAATATAATATAATCTATGTACTGAAATAACATGAATGGCATTATGAATGGAGATCACCATTCTGTCCAAATGGGTTTACCTGGAAAGACGTTTTCAATGTACCATGTGAGCACCCAGTATAGAAAAGCATCAAGGAGCATCATGACGATGGACACAATGAAGGTGTAGCGATCTCCCTCTTCTGGACTCTGGCCGATGTTGTGCCACTGAATCCCGATGCCTTGCTCCTCATACTTGGAAAATTTCTCACAGCCGTAGCCGAAGGCCACGCACGACAGCAAACTCTTGAAACAGAAAAAAAATAAAAATAAAATAAAAAAGGGAATAGAAAAATAAAATGAGCGAGAACAAACATTGCTGGTTAAAAGAAAATTTGGGGCACTTTAGAAAACAAGTAAATTTGCTCTTTTTGCTATAAGTCTATGTTAGTCTCTTTGTCTGCATGCTAAAGATGCAGTTGGAGTGAGCAGCTGGTTGTGTTAGCATACTGTACTATAAAGACAGGAACAGAGGGAAACAGCTAAGCCTGGATTTGGAGTCTTGGGAGAATGCCTGGTGAGCACATCAAGCCAAGATTGTGTGGCTTCCCCAACCCCAACATAAAACAATTCATTTGTGTTTTCCACTTTTTTTTCTTGAATGGAAAATTTTAGATACACAAGAATTGACACATTTGTGTAGAGGCCGGTCAGTTGTGTTCGCATACAGTACTTTGCAAAAGTGATTGTGTTTCAAAAAAAAAGTCAGACGCTCTTATAATCTTTTAAAGTGGTCCTGATTTCTTTTGATTTTGGCTGCTTTTTTTTTTTACTAATGTTCTGCCCAATCCTTGTACCAGACAGCATATGGTGCAGTATGTGATAAAAGAAAACAAACCGGGTAACTCAACAAGCAGAGAACAAAGAAGCAAATACAGTATAAGAAATGAAATCAGCTGAGAGTTCTTTGGGAATAATCTTGTTAGTGCTAAACACTACAGACATTAATTTAGAATAAAATGAATGCGTGAACATGAGACAGTTAATTTGTGGGCACATGAAAATTGTTGCCGTCATTTCCATGCTGAGTCTGTTGAGTGTTAACATGCATGAGTTTGAATTAATTTTACTTTATTTTGACAATGAATACTTACAAATTTATTAATATTAATGAATACTATGAATACTTCAGCCACTTGCGATTAGGCATGAAGGAATTCCAAACATTAACCATCTTTTGGCCAAGAGTTTTGTCTTGAGGTCATACACAAGTAATTATGAGACAGCCAGGAATTGACCATATCATGGCCACGCCTTGACCAACTCATGGTCACACATTGACCATCATTTGGCCATGCATTGCCCATCTCATGACCATACATTGACCATCTCATGGCTACAAGTTATTATCTTGCGGTCAAGCATTGACCATATCATGGCTACACATTGACCATCATTTGGTCATGCATTGACCATCTCATGGCCACAAATTGAGAATCTCATGGCCACACATTGACCATCTCATGACTACAAGTTATTATCTTGTTGTCAAGCATTGACCATCTCATGGCCACACATTGACCATCATTTGGTCATGCATTGAACATCTCATGGCCACACATTGACCATCTTCTGGTCATGAGTTATTATCTCATGGCCAAGAATTGACTATCTCGTGGCTACAAGTTATTATCTTGTGGTCAAGCATTGACCATCTCATGGCCACAGATTGACCATCTCATGGCCATGCATATTCACCATAATTTGGTCATGCATTGACCATCATTTGGCCATGCATTGACCATCTCATGGCCACACAATGACCATCATTTGGCCACGCATTGACCATCGTTTGGCCATGCATTGACAACCTCGTAGCCATGCNGCCACACAATGACCATCATTTGGCCACGCATTGACCATCGTTTGGCCATGCATTGACAACCTCGTAGCCATGCATTGACCATCTCATGGCCACACTTTGACCATCATTTGGTCATACATTGACCATCTTGTAGCCATGCATTGACCATCTCATGGCCACACTTTGACCATCATTTGGTCATACATTGACCATCTTGTAGCCATGCGTTGACCATCTCATGGCCACACATTGACCATCATTTGGTCATGCATTGACCATCGTTTGGCCATGCATTGACCATCATTTGGCCATGCATTGACCATCTCATGGCCACACACTGACTATCTCATGGCCACGCATTGACTATCTCATGGCTACAAGTTATCTTGTGGCCAAGCATTGACCATCATTTGGCCACACATTCACCATCTCCTGGTCATGAGTTATTATCTCATAAGCATTTACCATTTTGTGACCACGCATTGACAATCATTATTTCATGGTCAAATGTTATTTTTTTATTCAATGGCCACAGACTGGCTCTGTAAAATCCTCTAGTAGTGGCACTTTATGTACTAAAATAAATCTATTCTACCCTGCTATAATTGTTGAATTAGGGTAAAATAAGCAGAATTAATAAAGGTAGAAATAATTCATTGGATCTCATTTTCATTAGGCTTAAATGTGTTTCTACAAAGAAAATGTGGGAAATGTATGAGCTAACCAATTATTCTGTTAAACTTCCAGTCAATTAGATAAAAAAGCACTGCAATAATCTTCAGTTACTGAATTTAGGAGATGTCATGGGAAACTGTTACTGTCGCGGCAGGACAGACACCAGAATCCATCTGCTGCAAACAAAGATTTGTTGGATCTTTCATACAGCAGGAAATTGCAAATGATGCTTTGCCCACGAGACATCATCTGCCACGGCCTCTCATTCCGCATCGCCATGCTGCCTGCCAGCTGTTTCATCACACCTCATTTGCTTGCAGCATTTATACTCCGGCAGAAGTGTTTGCTGAGGCTTGAGAGACATATCATCATGGATACCCGATGTCACACCGCCACACAGAGAAGCACTGCAGTGGCGCCAGGCTTCTTAGACTGGCTGCAAACACTGCTGGCAACTTCCCATACTGCCCTCCACTGCCCATCTGCCAATCAGTCAGGAGATGAGGGCTGACAGCAGGGCAAGCGGGCATCCATCCTTGACCTCTGTGTGAACGGCTGACAAAACAACACGAGCCAATTCTTTGGCTGTTGAGAAAAGGGCATGAGTTGTGAGGCAGACGAAACAAGCCCTCTTTATTGAACACATGTCAAACTGGAGATTTAGACATCATTCAGCTGGCCAAGGACAAAAAGTATTGTTAAGGGCATGATGTTTGAAGAGGGCAGAAACCCTCTTTGGACTTAGCTCTGCTCAGATTATCTATTAGTTCATCAATTTGGACAAAACTTTCCCTCAAACTGAGGTCGCTGATAGAGCTTCCTACAACAAATGGGATATTAATTGTAACCTTCCCACAGAATACTCAGCTTTGTTACAATGTTGCCAAGCTTAGCTTTTAGGCACTGTTTTCCTACTGTTTAACAATTCAATTAATGTCTCATTCTTTGAAGGGATCTTCGACTAGTTGTAGCAATCAACATTAGTTGATAAACATTTACTTGAACTACAAAAAACAGACTGTAAAATATTGTAAGTTTTATTCATTTTAAAAGGTATATTTTCACATGGATGTCGCCATTTCAATAACGCCACATTCTGGGTATTTTAACAACTTTCCATAGAATAGAGAAATAAAATATTAAGGCCAACATACAGTATGCATATAGTCTGAGATCCCTTTAAAAAAGTTCCACAAAGTCATTCAGCACTCTATGTTCACACTGCATTTTTAGCAAAACATTTATTTTGGCTAGTTCTACAAAAAAATTCCATCTCCTGCCATAGGAAAAAAATGCCTAAGATGTATCTCTGAAAGAAGTTATGCTATGTATAACAAATATCTGACATGTCAAACAACTACTGCAAGATACCTTCAAAGCAAAGATTGATTAACTGATACAGCCAAAGCAGACCCCGACAAGTTTTTGAGAAAACTTGCATTTTTCCCCAGAACTCATTGGTTAATAGAAAATCTTTTCATTGTTTTCAGACTCAAAGGAACTGTAGTCCCATACTTACCTCATTAAAAGAGAAGGAAACTAGTCAAAGCAGAATAGACTGCTCAATGTTGCTTTTTTTTAACACTGGCCCACTGCAGCACTGCCTGAAGCTTTCCTCTGGCACACAGTCAAAAGCTGTCCTCATCAATTCAGGTGATCTTTTGAAAATCTATTCAGATGAAAAACTTCATTATCAAGGACAAAAAAGGGGTAGGATCTATTTGCCCTGGAATGGTGTGGTTTCATTCAAGCTGGGGGAAAACATGAGAGACATCTCTGATTCATGGACTAGGCTTTGGTCATGCTAATTAGAAGGCTACTGCTTCTTGGTTTTCTTGGGTTTCATTACATTTCGATTAGTTTTGGTGATTTATCTTGTATTGGTCTATCTGCGCCACACTTCATCTGGATGATCACCCTGCAACAATGTAAGGATATCAGCTGGAACAAGGATGGACTCCTTGTTATGTGTGACAGTCATTGGTTGTCAAAAATCTTGTGCATGCATTAAACAACAGCATGGCTCCTATCGGTAAGCTGAGCTACATGACCCAGATCCTAGAAAATAAAGATGGTTTTCCCAACACTAAGTTCAACAAGGTAAGTGGAGGAGTTTGAGTATCTGGGTGTCTTGTTTACGAGTGATGGTAGGATAAAGCAGGACATGAATTGACGGATTAGAGTCTCGTCCTCATTAATGAGGCTGTTGCTTTGATCAGTTTTGGTGAAGAAAGCACAGAGTTGAAAGGCAAAGCTGTCAATTTACTGGCCTGTCTATGTTCCAACCCTCAACTGTGGTCATGAAACAGTTTACAACCTAAAGAACGAGATCCTGGATACAAGCATCCCAAATGAGCTTCCTTCGTAGATTGGCCGAGCTCAGCCTTAAAAAATAGTGTGGCTCCATCAACTAGACAGAGTTTTGCCGCTGCTCCTCTGCAACGAAATGAGTCAGTTGAGGTGGTTCATCTGATTAGGATGCCTCCTGAATGCCTCCCTTTAGTGGTGTTTCGGGCACGTCCCACTGGTAGGAGACCTCGGGAAAGACCCAGGACTTGCTGGAAGGATTATGTATCCTCTCAGGCCTGGGAACACCTCAGCGTCTCGTCACTGAGGTGGAGCTGGAAGGTGTTGCTGGAGAGAAGGATACCTGGATTTCTGCCCCACACCTGTTGCTTCAGCGGCCCGACTACAGATAAGCATCAGAAGATGAAGATGGAAGTTCGTCATGGTTTTCCATCTTGGTGCAGGACAATGTCACAACCCCAGGCCCTGCTTCCTGGATTGTTGTGTGTTTGTGTTTCAGGCTGCTCAAGTGATTGGGAGCTAATTAAAGATGTGAGACAGTTGGCCAGAGTCTTTCGTGGAGTTTATTTAAGAGCAACCTTCACCAAGAGGGAGGCTGCCCCAATCTTTCGTTTTTAAGTTATTTTTTCTTTAATTTAGTTAATGATCGAATATTTTAAGTTGTTCTTGTG